AGAGCCGGAATCTTAGCAGGAGGTTCCCAGGTTGGAAGCCTGTCTGAGCGGCTCATGAATTATTCCATGATGCCAAGGAAGTCTATTCCTTTGTACTACTTTGCTGCTCCAAATTCAAAATCCGTCACGCGGTCCTGATCATCTTTTCATGTCTGAACTCCCAGAACTTCCTCTGCAGCCGTCCTCCCCTGCACACACCTTGCATAATTAGCCTTTGCCAATCTCCCTAAATACACGGCAAACCGCCTTCTGCCTGCTTCTCTCTCCCTGAGGCTGAAAGCATGGTTGTTCTGTGCTGCAGTGACCTAGCAGTTCCACGGGGCCCTGGGATGTGGCTCTGGGACTGGAAGGAACTTTTAAAGGTCTTTAATCCATCCCCAGGCTGGCCTGACCTCCACCCACACCAGAAAGGAAGCTCTCTACCCTCTTCTTAACACGTCCTCGTAGAGGCCCCCGGTGTCGGTGTTACCCAGTTTTACCCTAACCACTCCCCTGCCCTAACCCTTCACAGCAAATATCACCATTTTCCTCTCTCTGGCCCTGCTGCTAGCCTTCTGAGCCCCTGTCAGGTCTGTGACGGATTCCCTGAGATTCAACTTCATAGCACCTCAGAATTTAAACCCAAACTAGCTGTGCCCCCGGCCTCAGAAAAGTCACCAGCACCTGGTACATCACTGTCGCTTGAACAACATCCCACTTGGTTTGTCCCAAAACCTCCGACCTGCTGAGCCTTCTGGGAAGCTACTGAGTTGCCTCTCTCCAAGTAGGCTCTGCTGTGAGTCAACGTAGGAGGAGATCGTGTTTTCCGTTCCAAGTCAACCACTTTCATTTGTCTGCTTTACTCTCGAGACTCATCCTTGGTTTTATTCTTTTTTTATTTTGCCTTTCTTTCCGTCATAATGACATGGAAGGGGAGTGGGATTAGACATCTCTCAGAAGAAGTGGTTTTTTGTGTTACCTGAGCCCATGTTGGGAAAAGCAACTAAGCAACTAGTAGACACGGTGTCTGAGACTTACCTATTTTGAATTTTAGTCTTAAAAAGCAAAATCTGACCTGCGTGTCCTCACATGGAAGGCTGTACTTCTGGGCCCCACAGTAGATGGAGCTGATAAAATCCGGATTTAGTCGGATATACAAGTACTTGCAGTTCCACTCCCTGTGCTGACGTCACCAGCACCTTAGTCATCAGGGGAGGTGTGAGGACAAGAACTTTCTATACTCATCTGCACCCCTCAGATTACAGACTGAAGCCATTGCCTCGCCTACTAGCCCATGGGACTGGGCTTTGAAGCACAACAGAGAAAAAAGAGAGAAAAAAAATCAGACTGGGACCCTGAGTTCAACCAAGGATAGGGTAGCAAGTGGAGGGGGATTCAAAACCAGAAAGGTGGTCACAGGAGGCCTTCCTGTGCACACTGTTTATCCTGTTAATTCAAGGTCAGCTGACCCTGTCTACAGGTAATGCTCTATTAAGCAATCTTCTCAATTTGTAGGCATCTCAAAATATTGTGTTATAAGCTTCTCAAAATATTGTATCGATCCCTCTATCTTCTCCTGAACACTCCCTGACAAATTCAATCCCCAGAATTTACAGGAGAGATTATGTGCTTGAGGTGGAGATAAAAGAAAACAGTGTCTTTGATTATATGAAATACTTTCTAGTGCCTCAGACAAAACCTTAATCCCAACATTTTAGATGCTGTTTCTGATCAGAATGTTCATGCACCTATGGTAAAGATTTCTATGTTCTTGTAATAAGAAGATACGGTGCAACTAACCGTATCCATAATTCAGTATCCACACTATTTACTCTCCATGAGCAGGGCATGAGCAAAACAATATTTCAGTCCATAAATTTTGTTTTTAGAATTATCAAAAATATAGGTATGGTAACAATTATTTTCCCAAAGGAAAATAGCCCCTCTTTATTGACCGTGAAATTATTTTAGTATTGAATTCGGATCTGATGTCCCTTTCCCATCTTTTTTTTTATATACTAGAATAAAATAAGCAAGGCAGAGGTCATAAACCATGCAGTTTGTAGAGTTCGGGCTTCTGGGTAATGAAGCAGATTTCTCTCCCCTGGGAAGCCCATCTATAATGGCGGCAAATGAGTTTGTCCACAAGGACAAAGAGCCACAACTATTGGGAGCCAGAAAGCAGAAGGCCAGTGGTCCCTAACTGCACCCACTCAGGCACGGGCATCCTAAGCTGGCAGGAGGGAATGAGGAGAAGCAACCCGCTTACGTGGCAGGACCTCCAGGAGACTTGGGAATCAGCTACCTACGGCCGCGCCAGAAGTGGGGGTGCTGCTACACACAGAAGTATTGGTTGAAAGGTTGCAGCTAGAACCTCAGATCTCTTCCCAACTCCACCCGGGGCAGAGAAGCCCTCACTGCATCTGGGATAAGCCTAGAGGTTTCTTCTCTGGAGAGGCTGAGATGAAGGCTTCTGGACTGGGAGCCACTGGACATGAGTCAGGAGAGGGACACCCTAGTAAACCACGTGTGCTGACTGCTGAGGCCCACACACCTCCCAACCCAGAGCGTGGGCAACCTGGCTGGAGACAGGAAGATCCTTCCCTGAGGAATCTGCACACCCAAGAGGAAAGCCCCGAAAAGGCACGAACAGCAGGGGCTCCCGAGAAAGGCCCAGCCAGCCGCTGGTGAGGACCAGAGTAGCAAGCTCCCCACAGGGGCTCTCTTTCCAACCAGCTTTTCATTTCCAACCAGTTTCCACTTTTAACTCTAAGCCAACAAACAAGCCAAAACCATAGATATCTGAGGGAAGCCTTGAATGTGAAAGACAGTACAAAAGCAAAGAGAAAAATCAACCTTAAGGAAACAGACTATAACTTTGTATACTAGGGATTTAAAAATCAACACCACCACTAGTTAATATACTACTTATAAAAGTAACTAAAAATTAATATCTTCAAAAAGATGAGCTATTTCAACGATGTAACAAGAACATTATGCTAAATTTAAAGAAACATTCAAAGAACAAAAAAGATCCCTTGGGAATTACACTAGTGACAGAAGATGATTTTCCTAGAATGAGAACATTGAGACTATCACCCAGAAAATAGAGCAAAAGACAAAGATATGGGAGATAGGGCAGAAAAGAAAACTAGGAAAATTAGAGACCAGTCTAGGTGACTCTATATCCTAATAAGAGGGATTCTAAGGGGAAAAAAAGGAAGAAGAAAACAGCGATGAAGTAATCGAAGAACACCTCTCAGAACTGAGTGATGTGAATTTCCAGGTTAAAAGTGTCTCACACTGTGAATGAAAATACAGCCATCCCAGCCTGTCACCGTGGCATTTTAGAACACTCGGAATGAGATGCTGCCGCAGATTCTCAAAGGATCAAGGAGCAGAACAGCTCAGACAACAGCACCAGGAGACCAGGCGCCAATGGATCCCTTCAAACATCTGAGGGAAAGTGCTTTTCCCCTAGAATTCTGTAACCCTCCACCTGGTTGTCTATCTATACTAATAAGAGGGTAATATGCTAATTAGACCGGGCATCTTCTGGATGTCCTTCTGAATAAAGCCATGGTGGCAGGGGCCGAGGCAGAGGTGGTTAGGGGCAATCAGACCAGCAGGGAGGAGCACTTAGGGGGTAATCAGGCCAGCAGGGAGGAGCAGTTAGGGGGTGATCAGGCCGGCAGGGGAGGGCAGTTAGGGGAGATCAGGCTGGCAGGCAGAGGTTACAAGAGGGATGTCTGACTGCTGGCAGTCGGACATCCCCGAGGGGTCCCGGATTGGAGAGGGTGCAGGCCAACCTGAGGGACCCCCTTCCCATGCACAGGTTTTGTGCCCTGAGCCTCTAGTCATTATATAAGAAGGCGCTACCAACATTAGTGGCTTATAACAACAATTATTTTTATTACATCTCCCCATGTGGGTGTCAGGGGTGATCAAGTACTTCTGAGTTTAATTACTATTCATTAGCTTATACCTGGTCTGTTTCAAGAAGGAGTTTAGGAAGCCTATAACACTATAGAGAATATAACATTAAATTGCATTTAAATTAAAGCGTGGCAAAAGAACATAGAAAAATCAAAGATGGGACAAAGAGGAATCAAGAAAATCATTTAAAATAGGTGTAATTATAGCCTGATGCTGGTCACACATTTGTCTCTAAACTCTGTGTCCATTGGTTTTAGATTCAGCTACAGGTAACAGAGAGACTCAACATAGGGTGGTTTAAATAAGATAATACATGAGTTTATTTCTCTCAAACATGAAAGTTTGGGGATGTGCAACCCAGGTCAGGTATGGGAGCTCAAGTTCACTGCTCCTTGGGGTCCAAGGTCCTTCTAGCTCACCCCCTACCTTCCCAGGGTAGAATTTACCCCTACGGCCTAAAAGGGCAGCATTCCTATTCTCGGCAGCAGCGTGACTAAACAGGACAAAGCAAGAGCAAAGAAACCTGCCAGTTGCGTCCTAAGAAATACTAGTATCCCCGGAAACTGCTGCTAAACATTTCCACTTCCACCTCATTGCCCAGAACTTAGTGGAGTGGCCACACCTAGCTGCAAGGGCAGCTGGGAAAGCAGCCATCGTCTGGGCAGACCTGTGTCCTACTAACATGTCTATGAAAACGGACAAAGGGAGAGACATGGATCTGAAAGACAAGAGTGTCTGCCACAGCTTCATAGCAACTCAGAGAAGAAAGGGAACATGGCCAAGTTTAAAATGCAGAGATGATACAGACAGCCAATTGTTCGAGAGACTCAGAGCAGCTTTGGGTAAAAAGGTTACAAAGGTCTCCGTAAGAAAAAAAGTTTGATCTTTCCACATCCATGCAATTGCTTATAGGACTCTCCTGTGACAACTTAGGCAGTGACAGTTTAGAGAAAAACACAACGATAGAGATGTGATTGTCTAAGTTCATTCTCACCCCATTTTAAAAACTCAAAATAAAACGTGTGTGTTTGTACTTGATCATGTGAATGTCCCAGCATTAAGATACATGTATGTGTTTGTTTCAGAATTAAAGGAAACTCTATCTACCTTCACCTACGGAGAAGGAACCGCTGCAATCACCGGGACTACCAGAATATTTCAAAAAACGGTAGGTGGCCACTCGGCCTTCACCTGTGTGCCCCGGCGGACGGATTTTATTTCACAAGCACCAAAAGCTGAGAATTAGCGACAAGGCCACGGGATGAAACGAACATCTTCCGCTCTGACAGAGGGGCCCGGGGCTTAGGGCCTTTTCCCGCAGCAAAAGGAACAAGATGCAGTTAAGATATAGACGAAGGGGCAGACAGATACCAAACAAAACAAGACACAGTCAAGACAGACAGTCACCCAACAGCAATGCTCCAGGGAGGCCCCCGGGCAGGGCGTCCGAGGCTCCGGAGGCAAGACCTCACTGAGCATCAGCAGGACAAGAACTAAGCACAGTCAAGGTTGTTGCAAAGACTCTGCCCTCCCCTCTGGTGCAAAGGCTCCCACATTTTAGCTCGGTGGGAGTTTGACGAAAAACAGCTTAGTGTTTATGGTTGAAACCCCCAAAGCCATTAAGCAAAGGAACGTGTCCTCAGAACGATGGGGGGACTCGCAGTCTCCGCCAGCTTCCCCTGTGTCCCAGCACATCCTTAGACGGACGGCTTCCCCCTGTGTGGTCCTCACCTCCTACCTCAGCCCCAGGCCAGTCCACTGCCACAAGCCTCGGTGAAACTCCTCACTGATAAGCCACGGCCTGGCCAGAGCCTAGGGAATTGCCAAGGAATGTCTGGTGACACCAGGATGCAGAGATGGCAGACCCAGTGCCCAGGGAAGATGTTACTCATCCTCCGTGGCTCTCTGGTGGGCTCCACCCAGATTCTGCCTCACAGCTCTCACAGCACGCAGCTCTGACCATCGTCATCCGCACAGCAGACTTGGCACATGAAGGGGAACCTACTTGCCATCCCTGTGCCGTCTCTAAGTAACAACAGTGGTAAGGAATGTTCCAAGCTGTACAATGTCTAATGGAATACATGACCTACAAATAATTTCTTACATATTCTACATGGAATAAATGTTCCATTCCAAGAACCACGTCGTAGCATTACCACTAATAAAATGATGGCTGATAGCTATTGCTCTCTTGCCACGTGCTAAGAACACTCTCTGTATAATATTTCAGCTAATCCTTTCAACAAGCGCTAAGGCAAGGATTGTTCAATTTCTTCAGGATGAGGACAACCGCGGATTGGAATAGCTCTGGGGACTGGCGAGGGCGGGAGAACTACAGTGCACACATGGCGTGCAGCACTCAACCCAGTAGTCAGTGTGATAAGATATATTTCTCAGAATTGAGGGAGTATCATGACCTTCACACTGTTATCATTGAGGACACAGAGGCCCGGGGGGACCAAGAACCCTGTCCCAGAACACAGAGAGAGCAAGGGGCGAGAGCTGGGGGTTGTCGCCAGGCTGTCTCCCTGCACTCAGACCCCAGCGGCGGTCTCTGATGGAGAGTCCGGCCTCCGAGCGCTGGGCCTCCCCTCTCCGGGTGTGAACACAGCCCAAAGCCAGTCTATGGAACAGGAAGCACCGAGGTGGTGTGAGTCATCACAGGCACAGGACTGTCGGCCCCGGGCTGCGTTTTCTCTTTTGCTTTTTAAACCGTCCCAGTGCCGCCCAAGGCCCCTGCCCACGGAGACCGGAAGAAACAACGAACACACGTCCGTGTGCGGTATCTCGCAGCCCTGCAAAAGGATGCCTGAAAGCTCACGTGGTTTTGTTTAGAAAGACATAACGCTGCCAAAAGAAAAACCAGGATGGAAAACTGGATCGAATATTTATTTTCTACTGCATTTTTTTAAATGAAAGAGAAAAACAGCCTGACACAGATAGGTAGAAAATACACCAAAATTGTTGTGTTTCATAAATTATGGGTGATTGCTTTTTTTTATTTTTCTATTTCCCAAATATTTTATTTTTCTATACCAAATAACAAAACAAAAAATAGAAAGAAACTGAGTCTAGGAACAGTAAAGGGCCTGCTAAGCCCGTAGCTGAGGGAATCGAGTTAAGGACAAAAAAGAGCAGTAGGTTCTACCCAGACGCAGGCTCCGTGTGCCCGGGACACAGCCTTGCTCTCCCCCAGACCCCGCCACCCCACCCACCCCCTCACCCTGAGCACAGCGCTCCTTTGTGAACCCCACACGGCAGGGTGAGGCTGCAGGGATCACCCAGCACCCCACTGCAGGCCTTCTCCTTCCGTGGTTGGCCACCTTCACGGCCTCCTTGAAAGTGCAGATCACGGAGAGGAAGGAGGAAGGAGTGGGCAGAGAGCCTAACCGGGAAAACACATGCGTGTTCACACGTGATCCCAACCCGTGGCTCCCGTCAGGCTCCCGTCTGGTGAACAGATCCCCGGAGGTCAGGAGAGATTGTGTCCTTCCTTCGTATTTGCATTCCTTCAAGGTACAAAGAGGAGACTGTCTAGTGCCACTTCCTTGCGGTGCTACTTGACTATTGCTGGACGGATGTAAGGCTAAGAGGCCTTTTTTTTTTTCCAGTTCCTCCGAGTTACTCATTATTTAATGCTCGGGTTTCTTCTCCAGCCCCTCAGCCTGGTTTCGGGGCTCCTCCTCACTATGGATTTTCTTTCTTTCATCCCCACGCCAAGCGGTATCCATTCCTCCCCCAGGCTTTCCGTGGCTGTAGGGAGAGTCGGCTCTCTGCACCTGCATCTTATGGCTACACTGAGTTTTCATTACCAGCGAGAAGAGGCGAGAGGGCAGGAAGAGTTGAGCAGAACATGAAAGTGTTTCTGGAAAATCACGCAGTCAGAAGTGAAGAGACAGCTCTTGTTCTAGTCTTGATGTTTAGGCATGAGCTCCCAACAATGTCTGTAGCTATCTCTACCAGGAACCGCTGCCGGGGGTTAGAGAGCATTTAAAAATGTCAGATGTCGAAGCCGCCTTTCATCTGGGCGCCAGTTCTCTGGCCGGGGCTCGGGCACAGCAAGGCCCGGCTCAGTCCTTACAACCAGCAAAGCAGGGGGTTCTTACAGCTGCCAGGGCACCAAAGGCCGGTGGGTGGGTGGGAGGCGGCCCTGACAGTAACCAGGCAGGCGGGAGCCTCTGGAAGTGAGGGACACGCACCTCTGCCTGGAGAAGGGGCGGGAAACATCACAGGGAGGCACATGTGAGCAGAGAGCCCTGCAGGAGAAACACGGGAGTCCAGAAAGCCCGGGGAGATGGTGGCTCAGGGCATCGAGGCTCCCGGGGCACAGTCACCTTTGGGAAGAGAAGCCGGGCGTGGCCAAAGGATGCTTGCAGAGCTATGTCGAGTTTTAGGTGAAGGAGGCAGATGAGAGTGACACGGGGAAGCTATTACATTCTTTTAAAAGTGACTGTTTGGGACAATCATTTATCTGCTTTGTCACAGATATTCAGAACCATGCTTATGAATTTGAAAGCATTTGCAGTAGTGGAGGCATCATCAGAAAGTGTCACAACAAACAGTTATTAAGGGCCCACGATTTTGAGCTCATGGTCAATATATTAGTCTGAATGTGTCTGCTTATTGCAAGCAAACATTTTTAGAGAAAGGACGGAATTCAAGGTTCTCGTGGCTAATTCTTTAACTTGATTCTATCAATCATGCTCTTCAAAATGCTTCAGAAATGCTGAAAAAAATGAGCAAAATCTGCATTCATTTAAATCTAATCAGAGTTAAGTAACAGTATTGGATCTGAGGTCAAAGCATGATACCACATTTTCTTTTCTTTTTTAAATATACATTTTATTGATTTTTTAAAAGAAAGGAAGGGAGAGGAATAGAGAGTTAGAAACCTCAATGAGAGGGAAATATTGATCAGCTGCCTCCTGCACATCTCCCACTGGGGATGTACCCGCAACCAAGGTACATGCCCTTGACCGGAATTGAACCTGGGACCTTTCAGTCCGCAGGCCAAAGCTCTATCCACTGAGCCAAACCGGTTAGGGCACACACACATTTTCATTTTTAAAAATATATGTTTTTATTGATTTCAGAGAGAGGACAGGCGAGGGAGAGCGGGATAGAAACATCAATGATGAGAGAGAGTCATTGATTGGCTGCCTCCTGCACACCCCCTACTGGGGATCAAGCCCGCAACCCGGGCCTGTGCCCTTGACCTGAATTGAACCAGGGACCCTTCAGTCCGACGCTCTATCCACTGAGCCAAACCAGCTAGGACACACTATTCCTTATTTAAAAGGGACAGGATGAAGCAGAATCCAGACTTTAGTGGCCAATAAGGTCCCTCTTCTTTCTCTAATTATGGACAGGTACTTCCCCATTGGACCACTGTGCCCCTGTTTCATAGTCAATCTATTTCATTGTAGAGACCAGAGAATGAGCCTCTTGAGGGTAGTGCCAGTTCTTCAAATGCTCGCCTCGCTTTCCCACCTCCGCAGGCTGGGGCTCTCTCCTGCTTGCACCTCGGCCCAGCTGCTTCCGGACGTCTCCTCTGTAACGGCAGCAGCAGCCACAGCACAGTCGGCAGCAGGAGGAAGACTGTAGAGAGGGGAGCAGACAGATATGTTGACAGGCTGGCAAAGGGATAGCAGCACCGCAGGAAAGGGGAAAGGAGAGGCGAAAGGGAGGTGGGAATTACATAAACTAATGACATGATCTCAACAACTGAGCTTTGCAAGAGGAGATGGAAATCCTGAAAGATGCAACAACCTTGGAGCAAAGAAAATTCGGTGCTTGCATTATAAAGACCCACCAGGAATAAACACACCACAAAAGACATTGGGTAAAGACGAGTAGGCAAGTCCTCTCCCCTGAGTGGATGTTTGTGACTGCTGGTTTTTTGTTGTTGTTCTTAATCCTCACCTGAGGATATTTTTCCATTGATTTTTAGAGAGAGTGGAAGGGAGGGAGGGCAGGAAAACATTGATGTGTCATATTGATTGGTTGCCTCCTACACACACCCCAACCAGGGCCAGGGATAGAACCTGCAACCCAGGTACATGCCCTTGACCAAGAATCAAACCCATGACCCTTCGGTGCATGGGCCGACATCCCAACCACTGAGCCACACCAGCCAGGGCTGTGACTGCTGTTTTTAAATCCATGGCGACAGGTGCCCTGGGCCGGCCATCCTGTCCTGAGCGGCAGAGGAACAGGTGGTGTGGACACGGGGAGAGGCTGGCCCCGAGGCCGCCACGACAGGTTTTCATTTCCGTCCCCTGAAGTTCCGTGGGTGACCGCACCTCAAATCCCAGCCATCCTCCCGATAATGAGGAAGATTATTGGCCTGACCTGGTCCTTTAATGTTTCCCACTCGTGCCTTGAGCTTTCATTAGTTTTCGTGTCTCATTAACACACAAATCAAAGAGTGAGAATGAAACACCTCTTGATGTGTAATCTTACTAAAAGTGGAAAGTTGAGATCATGGGACTGCGGGGCCCGCTGAGCAGATGAGTGAGCCATGGTGGGTGCCATGCCAGCCCGCAGGGGATGCCCTCCGTCTCGTCACTCGTGAGGACAACGGGGAGCGACCTCACACCCAGAAACACTCTGAGTCTCTACGTTTAGGACTCGACGTGGCACCCTCTCTGAGCAGAGACAGGCTCGAGTCACGCTGGGTTTTCCTCTTTCCAAGCACTGGGGTGAGATTTGCATTAAACCTCACACCAGTTCTCAGTTGTGTGTCTACCCCAGAGACGCTACTGCCCAGGGATAAAGGCCACGTCCCACTGCTCTGTAAATTCCCTCCTTGGGCTCACTCTTTCTAGCCCCCCAGTCTAGAGAAGCAATGCCATTCGGGGAGCCAGCGCTCAGCATTGCGGGCAGAAGCGGCAGGGCTTGGATTGCGGTTCTCTAGATTCATAGCTCTGTGGCTTTGGGCAAGTCGCTTAAGTGAGCCTCAGTGTTCTCATCTACAAAATGGGGCTCCTAGCGTGCCTACCTCACACAGGTGTGCTAAGGCCTAAATGAACTAATAAATACAGAGCTTAACAGCGTGTCTGAAATAACATGAGAACCCAATAACCATGACTTTCCTATAAGAGATACGTTACAGGGTGTAACAGGGATGAGGGGGGAGGGTGGTCATGCATGTCATTGCTGGAGTTGAAATTTGTCAGCGCTACAATCTGAACCTTGCACAGCCCAGCCAGCACAGGGAGCCTCAGGAGTGAGCAGAAATGCCAGCTGGCTCTTCACAGGGCTCTCTGGGGAGATGGGTAGTTCTCAGAGAACCCTTCCTACTGTTCCTCTCCTCCATCAGCTCATTGCTGAATCTTTGGGTAGTTTCTCTCTCTGGTGATAGATATATCCCCTTTCCTTACACTCACTAGCAAGCTCACTCATTCACTCTAGGAAATGTCTGGAGAGGATTTGGGGTTCTGTCAATAGAAACATGAAAGCTATTAAGGGGAGTCCCAGGGGGAACTCATCAGTACGACAGTGTGGACGACCTCTGATTGTTCCATGATGCTTCTCCCGTGACCTCAGACAATCACACTCTCATCCTGACAGTGTTGAACTGAACTCCCTAACTTTAACTCTTTTCTTATTCAGGTGCATCTTCCCAAAACCTGGAGACATTCATAGAAAGGTAAGTGGAAGAAGTTGTTTTTAAATTGAGTTTCTCGTTTTGGAATGAACAAGAGCTCTGTTGTTACCTGTCATCATGTGCCCTGGGCACCAGCTAGTCACTCTGCAAACCCTGGGAGATTATTATCCCTTCCTGGGCCAGTGAGCATTGGATGTGTCCATTTCCATATGTCCTTAGAGACAGACCATAAGAATACATACAAGCTTAGATCTGGCCAAAAAGACAAAAAGCATTTCGTATTCCTGTTTACGAAGGAGAACACAATTCTGTGCTCATTTGGGGTTTAACACTCAGAATCAGGGCCCTGGATGCCCAGAATGGAACCTTTGGGCCCATGGATGTCTCAGGGATCTGGACATAAGTAACCCAGGTAACTCATCTGTGATCATTGACCACAAAGGCTGTGAATGATGCTAAGAAGATGGTAGCGTGTCCCCTGTTGGAGACTTCACTCCACTCCTCCACTCCACACATTGATGTGGTCTTTCGCTAATGGAAGATTAAAGATTATGGAGGATAAAGGGGGAGATGGGGATGGTGACACTAAATGAAAGAAAAATAGCAAAGTTCCCCAGAGGGTGGCCACACAGACTCTTCCACAGGCCCAGCCTGTGACCTCGGTTACAGAGCAGGGTTTCCGCGTGTTTGACATTCAGCTTCCAGTTTGTCTAGGAACCCACTGTTGGACCACCCAGCCATCGTCATATACGCCATGATTGGAAACGACGTCTGCAACGGGTGAGTTACTACCAAAGAAAGTTTTTGGTTTTTTTAATCTATTTTTATTTATTTCAGAGAGGGAGAGAGAGAGATAGAAACACCAGTGATGAGAGAGAATCATTGATCAGCTGCCTCCTGCACACCTCGCACTGGGGATCGAGCCTGCAACCCGAGCATGTGCCCTGACTGGGAATCGAACCCTGACCTCCCAGTTCATAGGTTGACACTCAACCACTGAGCCAACCCAGCTAGGGCAGTGATAGTGATTCTTGAACAAATATTCAGGTTATTTGAATATCCTTAAAATCAAGATGTTGAAATTAGTCAGACTTGAGTTCAAGCCCTGGTTTGTAGATTGACGCTCAACCACTGAGCCGCACCAGCCAGGTGCAAAGAAGGTTTTGAGAATGAATTCTTTGCCTCTGGGTTCCCCCTTTTCTCCACTCCATGATAACAGCCTGCTGTCAGATCAAATTTCTCTGTCTTCACAAGTGCTAGGCACACGTGGAATCAACAGAACCAGCCTGGAAAGCCGAGAGACCCTTTCTACAAACATCTTCCATTCATCCTTTGCTCTGATTCACAACAAATGTGTGTGTCACGATCAGGCCTGAGTTGTGTCGCAAGAAATAGGCTCCTACTGGCCAACAATCCGAGATTGAGAACCATGACTTCCTCCAGAAAATAAGGCAGGATCACGGCCACCCCATAAGTACAGCTTCTTCACTCACATCCTCAGACGCCGACTCAGGTGGCAGAGACACCCTAGGCAACAGGCTTGTGTAGACTACGCACAGTTCCGGCCAATCCTATTCCCGCCATGGCCCACGGGAGAAAGCAGCTTTGCTCACCTGCTGATCTCAGCAGTGATTTCAGAATGTTGACTGCCTTCGTTCCCCCACAACATTTTGGAAGATTTCTCAAAATCTGTGTGTTCCCCTGAGGATATGCTGCATATGTGAATGCCATCTGTCCTGTGGTCATGGCCAGAACAAGAAAAAGGTGACACCAGATCTGGAACAACTCCCAGTAGCCATCCACCCTCCATTTTAGAAAACAGAAACATAAAGCCCAGGTCACATGATTTGCCTAATTAATTAAGGCCAGTGTCAGACTCCCCCCTAGGTAGTGCTAGAAGCAGGGATTCCTGCCCACTGCCCCACCTTCGCTTTCCTGAACTTCACAGTTCAATATCATCCCAGTGTGTTTGCCCTCGCAGACACCTCCGTGAGAGCCTAGACCTCTCCCAGTGAGGACGGTGTAGACCTCACCCGTGGAGTGAATTCAGGGCAGGAGATGCCAGGCAGGGATCTAGAATGCTCCTGTGCCAGACCCTGCCTTGCCCCGCCCCCCAAGCTGGTTTACCACTCTCCCAGATCCCCACATCTGTCAAATGATGGGGACCCAGGTCTCAACCCTTGACAAACCACCTGGGACTCTCCACTAAATAGCAAAGAACCCCAAAACCTTCCATGAGCCCAGAGCCACGCCACTTGCTACCTCATCTCACCACACAGCAGCCCTAAGAGGCAAGTATGATCATCCCCATTTCACAGATGAGGAAACTGAGGTTCCGAAAGGTTATCCTCCATGGAGCATTGAGCAGCCAAGCTGAGAGCCCACCCGGTGCTCTGACAAAGTTCCGTGCCCTTTCCACCGGCCACACGTGCCTGACTTGCTTTCTCTTCCAGAAGTATGTAGCGAGCACCTGCGATGTGCCGGGCGCTGGGTCCAGCGGCAAACGGGCCACAGACCAGGACCTCAGGGGCTTGTAGAAGGAGAGGCATGGAGCTTCAGCCTCCAGCCCCATCACAAAACAGAGCAAACCGATGGCCAGACCAGCCCGCACCTCCCAGCCTCTGGATCTTGCTCCCCGGAGGGCACGGAGCGGACGAGTGACACTGCGTGAAAGACACCTGCAGGAGGAGGCAGGGACTCCAAGCGCCCAGACCCCCGAAACGTCCCTTGTTCAGCCGAACCTGCTCACTACAAATGATTTTCCTTTTCCAAAGAGCAAGGGGGCAGGCGGCCATGAGCTGAGACCCATGCCAGCTGCCACCCCCCACCCTCAGCCCCCACCCCGCCGGGATCTGGGCAGGGAAGCAGCCAGCACTGGGAGAAAGAGCGGGGCTGGCCGCTGGGAGATCCCCACGGTGCCCACTTTGCGGCGTCCTGTGGAGGGTTAGAAACATGGAGACAGATGGCAGCGACACCTCCCCATCTGCCTGGCCATCAAGGTGGAGCAGATAACCAGAGAGCCGAGTGAGCTCATTAAAGCTCCCAAGTCCGGTGCTTCTTTCTCAACCTCTAAACCAGCGGTTCTCAACCTGTGGGTCGCGACCCCTTTGGGGGTCAAACGACCCTTTCACAGGGGTCGCCTAAGACCATCGGAAAACACATATATAATTACATATTGTTTTTGTGATGAATCACTATGCTTTAATTATGTCCAATTTACAACAATGAAAATATATCCTGCATATCAGATATTTACATAACGATTCATAACTGTAGCAAAATTACAGTTATGAAGTAGCAAAAAAAATAATTTTATGGTTGGGGGTCACCACGATATGAGGAACTATATTGAAGGGTCGCGGCATTAGGAAGGTTGAGAACCACTGCTCTAAACTCACACAGCCACTTCGTAAACACTTGCTACATGCATGAAGGTCACGATTGGAAGGTAGCTTTTCCTGTCCGGAACTCAAAAAACAACGTTCCGCAGAGGTACCTACGTTTCTCATGGTGACGCTGCTCAAGGTGGCCTCGGCTAGCCCAGCTTCCTGGGCTTGTCCAATCACTGCCCACCTCACAAAAGCTACAGAATATGCTGGAAAGTCAACTGTGCAAAAAGACGAACAGTTTACATCTTCAAGCCAAAAAGTATTCTAGCGTCCTTATTTACACGTTGCCTTCCAAACCTAACTTGGAAAAAAGAAATGAATTTAAATATAACTTTCCATGATATATTTCTAGAATACATTCACACACTCCTTATTTCTGTTTTTTTTTCCTAAACCAAATGAAAGTAAGTCAACGAGCTTAAATTCAAAAAATGTCTGAAGCTACAATTTTGTTACTTTCAGTTTACTTTGTCCCTCTTTGTCTTAAAGTCTTTCATTTTAGGTCAATGCTCTGATAACTACGTTCCAAAACTTCCTTTTTCTATTTTCACTAACGCTTATGAAGCAAGAAGAAAAAATACAAACTAAAATTTCCAATAATCTCTATAGAGCACAAGCACTGGTGTGAAGAGGAAGGCGGAGATGCGACATGGAATGCCCTTCGGCGGGCAGCGTGGCAGGGGGGTCGCCTGAAAGAGCAGCCTATCAGGAAAGTCATGAGAGTTCAACTGGAAAGAGCTATTGTGGACACATAGTGTGGCTTCATTGCTCAGCCACATTCTGTTTCCCTCCCTGCAATGCAGGTGGGAAGTTTTAGAGACCAAGTTGCATACCTTGAAGTGTCAAGCAAATCATAATCAGTCCCGGACTCCTTTGGTTCCACGAACTGTGTGTCTCAGTTAGGATAGGTGAGGCTGTGCTGCAGGAACAAACAGCCCCTAAAACTTTAGGAGTATAAAGCAACAAACATTCACACGCCATTCACACTACATGTCCGTCAAGGATCATCACGTGACTCTGTTCCAGGACTCAGATGGGTGAAGTCACTGCTTCTAGAACATTGCCAAGACCCATGGCAAAGGAATGGAGCTTTTAGAGGCTCTCATACCACCAACCATGACATACGTCTCTCCTCACAGCTCAGATACCAAACCAGCGACATGGCCAACCCAACCATGCGAGAATCGGGAAGCCAGAAACCATTTGCAAATAGCACCCATAACCACCTCATGGGGTGGCCTTCAAGGGGCGGGTATTTGGAATGTGTATGCATCCGTGCTGGTAATCTGGTAAGATCTTTTCTGTTCCTTTTAACCAACAGGAGGAGTGACCCAGTCCCAGAAATGACCACTCCTGAGCAATTCTATTCCAAGGTCATGGAGACCCTGAAGTACCTCAACGCCCGCCTGCCCAACGGCAGCCACGTGATTCTGTACGGCTTGCCGGACGGGACCTTCCTCTGGGATCATTTGCACAGCAGATACCATCCTCTCGGTATTGTTCTGAAGACCCTTTTACGCTTTAACGTGTCAGTGTACATACAGTTCCAGTGCAGTGAGTTCACAGCACGTAGGAACACAGCTAACATGCCACTGCAGTGCATGCATCAGCACGGATGCAGGGAAGCGCCCCAGCTGCAGGGTCTACTCTAGAGGTCAGGATCCAACCGTGGGCAGAACCAGGTCCAAAGCCGGGAGGGGCAGGAGTAGTGGACGAAGAATTAAGGCAAATTGAAAGGTAAGAGTTTCAGTCAGGAAACTCCTTTCACTGAAGGTGAGATCTAAAAACCAGCTGATGAGGCCCAAGCAAGAGACAGAAAGCCTGAGTCAGAGGGAGGATTTCTCTGAATCTGGGTGGGGAGTGCCCCCTGCTGGCCAGATGGCATTCCGTCGCCCGCAGCCCTGGGAGGGCTGGTTCTGGCTTCCACACTCTCACCGTCTGCGGCAGAGAGATAATGGTCCTCCTCTTTGACAAGAAAATTGAATCTATCGTTCAGCCTAACTGATGTGAGGCGCAAGTGAGAAATAAGGCTGTTCCGCCACCTTCAATCTCTCTCTTCGCTCCCAGATAGGGCCTCTTATTTCTCTTTACTTTTTGGAGCGTGAGAGAGTGCTAATGAGTAAGACACCAGCCATTGCCCTTGAGAGAGAGAGTGTGTGTGTGTGTGTGGGGGGG